AAAAAAAAAAAAAAGAAAAAGTAGAGAAGGATGTTTAAATTCCCACAGGATGAACAAATGCAAGGAAGAGAATAAAGACAGTAGGGAACTCAGCAGGGAGCTGTCTACCTAGATGTGAGACCAGGAAGAGGGAAAACAAGGTTACGGAGAAGCCAGTCCACGGAGTTCGCGGCTGCCCGCTCGAGGCGTCTGCCTCACTCCATGAGCAGGGGTGGGGAACCCATCCAGGAGGTGACTAGAATGATAGGTGTCATAGTGCCCTGAAGAGACGTCAGAATTGGAAATAGAGATTGGGAGTGGTTCACATAGCTTATCATGGAATTGGCAAACCAGTCAGTGTTCACTGGTGCCACCACAGTGGGAAATATGAAGAATGAGGGGGCTCCTTGCCACTTCTGGGAACATGGCTAGCATCACACTGTGAAACACTTACCTTGCTAAATACCCCATAACGATCATTTTTTTGTTCCCAGATACTCCCAGGTAATCTAAATGTTCTCGAAATGTACAATTAGTGTGGCCTAAGTGCAATTGTCAAAGAAGTCCCTTGGAAATAGTATACTTTGAGCTGAACCCTAAAGCCGGGTTGGGAGTTATGCCACAACAGGCAGGGCCAGGACGGTGTCATCCAGCTAAGAGCCCAACTTTGGAACCAAGAGGCAACTGGATTCAGATTCTGATCCTACAGTCATGTCTTGAGCTGGGATCTAGTGAAGGAGGAGTTAATGGGGCCAAGAAGAGATGAAAAAAGTATGTTGGTCATAGATTTAAGCAGCCTTCACCTTTCCTTGTCCAATTTCAGCCCAACCTCAAAATCAAACAGTAGTTGAAGGCCCCGGGGACAAGGAGGGCAGAGCATTTAGGGAGGACAAAGAGAAGGCGGGGTAGTTGGCAGGAATCCTGGGGAGGCACACAGGCTGACCTTTCAAGGCACAGTCTCATCGGCTACAGCAAGGATTTTCTCTTTTTTCTAACGAAGCCACCAAAGTGTTTTCAACTTTGGGGTGACATGATTAGCATCTGGCAAAACCATTCTGCGCACAGTGTGGACAGTTGTGGAGGAGAACAAGAGCGAAGAGACCACTCAGGAAGCTAGGGTATTTACTGCATCTGGACTCTAGTGGCCATGGAGGTGGAAAGAAATGGATGTGTTAATAAAGAGGGTTTGGGTGTGAACTCATCAGTGCATCATGATCAGTTGGTTGGGGTGTAGGAGATCCAAAGACCATGCCTTGATTTCTGCATCGCCGATTGGATGGTGGTGCCATGAAGTTTATCTGGAAATGTGCTGTAAACTCCGTCATGTGTTATCATGCCTTCTGTCAACTGTCAATTAACTTTTACAGAGACTTAAATAATAAAAAGGCATTACGTTTATTTGCCCACAGTTACCATTTTCAGGGCCCTGTCTCCTTACATAGATCTGTATTTCCATGTGACATTTATGTAAATGGTACCTTTATGTAAAATTTTTTCTTAATTTCCAGTTGTTCATTCCAGTACTTAGAAACACAGTAACATGGTTTTGCTCTTTATTAACTGCATTCTGTTACCTTGCTAAAAAAAATTTTTTCCTTTAGATCTGGGAACTTTACTGTAGATTTTCTGTGTAGAAAGTCACATAGTCTGCAAATTAAGACAGGTTTGCCTTTTCCTTTTCAATATTTATGCCTTCATTTTCCATCTGCCTTACGACAGCAGCGAGAACCCTCCATCCAGCACAGTGTCGAATAGAATTAGCAAGAGTGAACATCCTTGCCCCTTCTCGCTCTTCCCAGGAAAGCATTTCCTATTTTCTGTGATGTCTCTTAAGTGACTTTTCCATACATGTTGTCCAATTGAGGAAGTTCATTATTATTACTGATATTGCCTTTTTTCTTTCCTTTTTTAGCAGAAGACTCAGAAAGTGGTGTTTACATGCGATTCATGAGGTCGCACAAGTGTTACGACATCGTTCCAACCAGTTCAAAGCTTGTCGTCTTTGATACCACATTACAAGTAAGTATACCCAATTTCATGAAGTTTCGGTGGGTAGCTTTTGGATGCTACTTTATAGGGTAATTTAAATCCAGCAATGCCAGCAAGCATTTATTCCACACATCAGGTGCTGTGCTGAGGTTCAGTCTGGGCTCTCGTCTTCATGGCAGCCTTCTAAAGAAGGTGCTGTTACTGTCCTCTTTTACAGATAAGGAAACTCAAGTTCTAGAGTTTAAGAACTTAGATCGCAAAACTTAACTCCCCAAATTGTAGAACTTAAGAACTTGATGCACAGAACTGGTGAGTGACAGGGACTGGAATTTGAACACAGGTTTGTCTGACAGAGCCGAAGCTATTAACCTGTCTTCTGCAGTTTATCTTGATGTTTTTTCTTAGTGATTTAATAGAATATATAATAAAGTAATTTGAAATAATATTGGTTAAAAAGAAAAAAATTACTAAGGTGAATAATCTCTTGTGAGAGAACTTTGTTGAGCTCTTTCAGCAGGAAATTTGAACCTGATCATTTTGGTTTTAAAAGTGTGTTTATTGCAGCTCATTTTAGACTGTGACTTAAAATCATATATGAAAAGTCCTAAATGATACATTCAGTGATCAAGTTACAGCCAATGCAGTAAAGTATGTGTGTGTGCATATTTAAATATTTAAAATATTTCGTGTCTATTTGTCCGTAAGGCCTTACAAAGCAGAATTGTCTTCAGTGTGCTCCCCAGAAGCGGCTGCAGAGCTCGGGATTCATGGGCAGCAGGCTCTTTGCTCGGGTGTGCCTCCCAGGAGGACCTCCAGGGGGCCGTGGGGAACCTGGGGGGAGTAGAGGCCCCGTGAGGGCGGCCTCAGCTGGTCCCTCTGTCCAGCGCTCGGGGACTCTCCTCACCCCTCCCCAGCCCGGTCTCCTGTCCTCCCCAGCGGCCTGCCCTGCCTGCGGCTGTTCTTCAGAGCCACCTGGGCTCTTGAGGCTGCTCGGCCTTTAGTCAGTGATTCTCAGGAATGTGCAAGTGGATTTGTTCTTGTTTGTGTCATTTTCCAATTGTTTTTTGTTAATCATACTGAAATACGACATTTTTATAAATTGACCTTATGTCTTGTGAGTTTGCTAAACTCACTTCAGACCCAATAACCTTCAAGGTCCCTTGTAAAACCCAAAGCTGGTTTACGCAGAGAGGACAGGGAGCACCCAGATACAGCGTTACAGTAGGGAAAGTACAGATGGGGACTCTAAGAAGTAGTCTTTGCAACGGGGACTACAGATTTCAGTAGTAAAATAACTAGAAATGCTGAACTCCCGAAATAAAGAACTGCTAGATCAACACTCTCTTGCCCCCAAAAGGCTTACTTTTTCAAGAGCCAGATCTGCTGCCCATTGGTTTTCTACCAACAGAAAAGTAAGTGGCGGCTGGTACAACCTGTGCGCTTCGCTCCTGTTTAGCTTTTCCCTTGCCGTGAAACCGACTTCCTTCGGAATTCAGAATCTAGAATTTTCTTCTGAGTTCATGTATTACATGGATCATCAAGGTCACTAATCCAGTAAATATCCCTGATTAACAGAAGCTGTGAGGGCAGCCTCTCCTGGCAGTCAGCAATCCTGTGAGGCTGTAAGCTTTGAAGGAGCTAAAATTTGTTACCAAGGAAATAAAGGGTGGGGGTGTTTGACACTGGTCAGGGCAGAGCTCAGCATGCATCCAGAAGGGGTGAGGAGAGTACCTTCCAGGCGCAGACCACAGCAGTCCCAGGATGCACTCCGGAGGGCAGAGACAACAGGTAGAGAACAGCCCAAATGCCTCTGATCAGAGACTGGTGAGATAAATCCTGGTGTAGGCCCACAAGAGATACCGTGTAGCCATTAAGAATGAAACAAATGTTTGTTGAGAATATTTTTATTTTTAAGTTAAAAAAAAAACGGAAGTTGTAGAACCATACGTATATCATGATGAAGTTATTCTGAGGGTGCAAAGCCTCAGATTCATAACTCTTCTGGGGACCAAAGTCAGCCATTTGCAAGGAAGCTGCAGAAGGAGATGGAAACCGCAGATGGAAATAAAAAAGAACAGACACACCAAGCCGAGTTGAAAGGCAGCCTGGCCCAGGACACAGCCTCGTTCTCAGGGGCAGCTCCCTCCGAGGGCAGGCAGCACAAGCTCCCCATAAGTTTACTGCTGGCATTGATGCAGGATCGGTGTCCATCTGTTCGTTGGCACCTCTCAGGACCATTCAGTAGAAACCAGATGTTCAAACTGAAGTTGTGCCCACTTGGGGTTGTCCATCCCCTCTGCCCTCAGTAGCCACCCCACGTGGGGCTGTGAGTGACACAGCTGTCCTCCCACCTGGGAACAGTCTATCTTAACAAGTGTCTTCCTCCTTGGGCAGCGGTTCCTAACTTGCTGCCCCCAGACTGAGGGACAGCAGGCACCCATGTCAGGAGCGCCAGGTGTCATGGGGCAGCTCCCTGGAGTCCCCCAGGCCTGTGCACGCTCCCTCCCCCCCCACACCATTCCCACTTGCTGACAGATGGCTGTGCTGCATGCCCAGCATTTTGGCTTGATGAACCAGATGACAACTTGCTGGTGATGGGAAGCTCAGGCCATGTCGTCTTCAGTTGTTTCATCTCTGCCAGGGCCCAGGAGTAAACCAGAATGTTTTCTCAAAAGGAAAATAATTATCTGCAGAAGAATCCATGGTTTTTGCTATTTGCTTTTTTCCCACAACCCTAGACGTTTGCCCTGTGACTCCTGGTGGTGCTTGACAGGGCTTCATACTTTGCTAGTGCTGGCTTTGCTGGTCATCGGCCAGCATGGACGAGGAGCCTGGGCTGCTGCTGAGCTGCGGCTTGCTCCGCTTCCCTCTGAAAACAGCTTTTACAGGTCACTCATCAAACAGGTCAAGGTTGCTTCCAAAAGACCTACCAAGCATTGAGTAGCTGGCCGGGTGTGTGCAGGGCAGCAAGTCGATTTCACCTGGAGGAGATACCTCTGCAGGCCACTCCTCCCCTCACCCTGGGGCCCCGCCCTCTGGTTTGCACATCTCACTGAGGCACCTGGAGCTTGACCACCTGCCCATCAGAGTCCCTCGGCAGTGTCACCAGTGTAGCCAGGGACTGCCGTGCACAGTGCTACAGTGATAAGCATCTGTGCAGAAATCGTTCAGGCAGAAAGCATGAAGGCAGTGTAGCCTCGAGGCATGTTGGGGAAATTGGCGTGGAGCGGAAGTATGTGTCTGGGCAGGAGCAGCAGGTCCCCACGTCTTGAACAACCACTGCAGCCAGGGTTACAGCATGAGCAAGCCTACAGGAATCCATGGTCATTCTGGAAACGTGGTCACAGGCTATTTACTGGGGATGTCACGGGACCCTCCCTGCCCCTCATCCCTGCGCTTCCCCAGGGATGATCTGCCGCTAGCCTGGCAGCACAAGGCTTCCTCTTGGCCCTCTTACCACTGTGCCCCTCACCCCATAGGTCAGGGAGCCCGTGTAGGTAGGATCCTGCCATTTCCAATCACATGTTCAAGAGCTGAGGTGGTAGCCATATGTGGTCTGCAGACCTACTGAGTCGCTCAGGGTTGACCTTGGGCTAAGGGTCCATCTGTCACCTGAAGACCCTGAGCCCTCATTTGGCTAGCAACCATGGTGGTGTTTTGTGTCCTTTCAGAGCCAGAGTCCTGCAGCCCCAGTGAGGGCATTTCCTCTTCCCCAGAGTGTCCCCCTGCAGTAAGCCATGACTGAGCCCCTTCCGGGGAGAGCATGCGCTAGGCAGGGCTGTGGGCCACTCGCTCGGAGGCCCCACTCCCTCGGCGAGGCGCTCAGGGCCTGAGAGCTGGCCTCCGTCTGGGAACTGGCCAAGAAGGCACGACTCCACTTCGATGCCTCAAGTCAGGGTTTTAGCCCCTAGACTCAGAGTTTTTCTTGCTGTGTAGATGAGGATGAGCCTTTCAGAAGATGGTGATCCTGGGGACACTGTAGTCATGTAGCTCCCACCATGCGGCCCGAGATCTTGGCCCGCCCTGCCCCCACAGGGCAGGTCACCCCACTAGAGTCAGGCCAACACAGCACTGTCACCTGCCATTGAGCCTGGCCTACAGTCTGCAGCCAGAGAAGAGCTTTTCAAGGAGGGAGGGCCCCATAGTCATACATCCTCGACTACCTGGCGAGGCTGTGACCTCTGGGCCTTTTCAGGGAACATAGCTGGGGGACTGGGTGTTCAGGCCGCTCGTGACACATCTGCCCAGGCGGGGCTCACTCTTCTCCATTATGCCACACAAGGCTGGCTTTTGGCCTCGTTAAACATGGACAGCAATGCCCTGCATTTCAGGCAGTCAACCCCATAAGCTTCAGAGCCACTTCGAGCTGCATGCACTGCACATGAAGTCCACATTTCTACTAAGCCCACTTACATCAATAAATGCTGCCAAACTGGTGTTAAAAATCCCCCTTGGTTTAACATTATTACAAAAAGCTAGTCCCACACTTCACAGGCTTCTGCAGACATACACTACCATAACCATACTGTCCTGTGTGTAAACTGTCCCCTCGGGAGCATGCTGGTGTCTTTCCCTGGTCACAGGTCTCGTGGCAACAGGGGCAGCTCCGTGGCTGTCTGGAGAACACATGACCCTGTGCAGGGCACCTGCCCGGGGAAGCTTGTTACTGGGCTTCCAAGCAAAGACAGGAGAGTCTGCCGCTGCAGAACCAGTGTACCCACTGCCACGGGAGGCTCCGAGCAACTCCAGGGCCCAGAAGCTTCGTTTTGCTGAGTCCAGCCAGCATCTTCTGCAGGTTCCAAGGCCATGATTCTTCCAGATTGGTGCCCTGCTTTCATGTTGGAGACGCAGTGAGGCTGGACTCGGTGGTGTTAAAGTTCTGCATCCTGCAGAATTCCATTTTGTTATTTCATTTCAGAGATGTGAGCCCTGTAGCTACAAGTTAGGCTTTCAAGGGCTGCCGTAGAGGCTCTCAGGTTCTCTGACTGTGCCCCGGAACTCACGACCTGAGCTGCTTGTCCCTGTCTGTA